ATTTGATTCCTCTAATACAAAATAATGGCTGACAGAGAATCAGTCATGAATCAAATAAGTGCGATTTAGATTTTATAAATCCAATTATTGCCCTCATCTACAACACAATGTTGGAAATGTTTGATGTTCAGCAAATTACGAAAATAAGCTTCCCGAACTCAGTGCCACCGCATTAATCCATCCATTTTTTGCAAAATATACAAGACCGACTTATAAATAAATGACAATCTACCACTGGAAAGAAAAATATGTCTACAAGGTCCGATACTCTCGCGAAGGATATTCCGCAGAGACGAGGCATTTACATCGGTACAGATAGCAAAAACTTTTGCAGAAAACTATGCTTGGCGCCAGATCACCTTCATGAAAAACAGAAGATTTTGCTGACGTGAAAAAAAATATCCACTGCTCTGAAATTTCTTAAAATTCAGCAGCAGTTCACACATCTTCATGAGCGAGGCAGCATGCGATGGCACTTCACGCGCACGTAAAATAATAGATGCCACATGCTTAGTGCGGCAGGAATCATTTAGATTTTACTGCACAGGATTAAAACTTTCACTATTACACTGAAGTACATATGGGCGAGTGATCTATCGTACAAATACAACTATCAAAGAAGTTGATTCTAAGGCACAAAAAAAATACTCAAATCTAGAGAAACCCTCATCAAATGCGGAAGTTCCGCCGCAATTTATGTTCATCGAAGCCGCAACAAGGCGTTAAGCAAATAATATTTGGACTGGCTTTAAATCAAAGCATTTGTCAGTTGTTCTGTTATTTGCAAATGTGTCCAAACAACTGTATTTCGAATTAAAACTCTGCGGTTGGCGGATTCTACATGGATAAGAACGCAGCAGAGTTGGAGACTATGGCGAGGTCGACGGAAAACTTAGTCAGTGCCCTTCATGATACTGCCGCTATCGAACATCATACCGGCTCGGTCCTCGCCCAGACCGCGAAATGAACATTTCATTGAGACAGAAACAGCAGAAGCAAGTTGATGAGGCTGAAATGTACCGACTTAGCTGGACATTCGCAACCAAAGCAACAGGGCTATAAAATACTAAACTATCAGCTGGAACTATTCTTCTGTGTCTACTTGCTCAGGCACGTGTTGGCGCTCTAGTACAACCAATATCAGGCATACAGAATCACTGAAGGGAACGGCTTCAGCAGAAAATTGCCAGTCATCCGGTCGAAGCTACAACAGCAGAAAGAATGAACCTAATCAAAAACGAGATTATGCGTCTCCGTTGTACCAGGAATCCATCACTCTAATGGGCGATTTTAATGAGAATTTCC